TCGCTTCTTCGTCGTTTTGTTCTGGTTTGACTTGTTACTTGTACCATTTGAGTGCTTGTGAGCTGGTTGATCTTCGAAGCCAAATCTTCAAAAGCCTTCCCTTGCTGCTTAACCTCTTTCCTTATCTCTTTGTTTTCTTTAACGAGACTTTGAAGAAGTTGCATGTGTACTTCAGAAATGCTCAAATCATCCGCTTCATCGATCATAGATTTGTTGATAGACATTGTCGAAATACCGAGAAGAATAACAGATCAGCTGTAGAGTAGTAATACGAACCAACAAGGGATGAGTGACACGCGAGACGTAGGTTAACCGATTAACTCTTATGGGATCACTGTGTCGTAAGATCTGCAGTCATGATTGGCTGACATCGGTTGGACGAAAACATTATTAGTTGTGATTGGACAAAATAGTGTGCCGCGCCTGCGGTAATAACTAACTGCGGTGTAACATATTGCCTTAGTTACCTTTTGYTTACYTTATACTTTGACAAACTTCTCTAATAATCTTCTACGTTTGTTTACGAATCTTTAAATCAGCTTTTCAAGAATAATTCACAATAATTTGAGGTTTTAAGAGTGACTGTCTGTAATCATCAAGCAAAATTTAAAATCTGCGGCAAACCTTGAAAAATCGATTTCGCTCATACTTTCAAGTTATGTAGGGCAATGTATCCTAAGAATCGCTGTATAGTTGGTTTGATCAAATAATGCTTTATAATGGAGAAAAATGACATTTTCCAAACRCTACCGAAAACGCTCTTCGCGCCAGTAAATTTKGACTCAACTTTCTAGGCCGCTGGACAAAAAATAAGTAAAACTAGCGGTTAAAACAACTCGGATCCTTTAAGAACAATCCGTTGTGTACTACGTGCGTGACTCTTGGATCGATTGCACAATTTTTAGATAACATAATAATTTTTGTCGTTATGTGTTTCGAGTCTCCAAAAGTATGCTTCACGAAAATATTGATTGTGAAATTGCTTAACCTTTCAGTCGACTGAAACTTCGCTGGATGATTCTTCAGATGATGATCTTTCTTTTGATGTAAACAAATCTTTGGGCAAATGATTGTGTGTAACGCAATAGGTCTTCAAACTTTGGTCAAATTACTCATTTCTGACCTCTGGCGGCTTTCTATAAATAACACGATGCTTGTGTTTATACTTGAAATATGAATTTGGAAAGGCTCCAATACACTTCTAAAGACTTGAATAATGCATCTTTTAAAGGATTCTTACCTGATGAACTCTGAAACTTGCATTTTCAAGAATGATTGTCAAGATAACTGGGATCTGGTATATATCATTACCAAACATGTCAACGGCCGAAATGCCACAGGAAGCCCAACTCTTTATTTACATGTCAAAGTTGTGTTTTATTAATTATATACCCTTCGGATACACAATATCAACATATTTTCCAAAGCTTTTGAGAAGAATTCATATTACAATTTATCTAAAAATACAAACGATGTACTTAGTTGAGCTATCTACATTGAGTACCCTAAAGTCCGTAATAACAGTAAATGTACTAAACTCGTAAGACTGGCACTCGTGATTTCCTACGTAGAGGCGGGACAGTGTCTTGCAGTGTAGAGTCAGGATTTAGGGGTTCACGTGCATGAGCTGTTGACGAATTCTGTAATGATATCAACATAAGGCTGCTTGCGTTTCTTTGTTATAGCTGAACAGTCTAGTTCAAAGTATTTACAGATGTCTTGTAGTAGAGATATAGATAGTTTAGTGAGACTGGAGGCATCAACCATCGCGCAGAGGTATCAAAAAGAATTGGATGATCTATGACAAATTCTTTAATAAGTTCTTGTCGTACGAGCTCAAAATCCATCTCCTCCTGTGATGGTAGCAAGTCATCGACTGGATTTTCTTCGTTGTCATCATCCGTAGAAGTTGAGTAATTTTCTGGAAGAGATTTCTTGGCGGATAAGCGGGAAAAAAAGCTGGCGATATGTTTGGATGTCAGGTAGCTTTCAGCATCAAACAGGAAAGACCCATCTGCATCTCGTGCTTTCCTCATAGCTTTGGCAGCTTGTTCTGGATCAGCTCTTCTTCCTGTTTGCTCTCCGAGAAGAAATAGGTCTTTTAAGTATTTCTTCTGTGCTTCTGTGTGTCGGCGTCGGCTGGATGAACCGTATTTCAGCGCCCATCCCATCAATAATGGAGGTACATCCGATGTGGGTTCTGAAGCAGACTCCTGGACTTCCTCGATGGTTGCTCTCCCACTTTCTAAATTCTCTGCATACATTAACATGGCTCGATCAAGAAAGGTCTCCTTTTCTAGAGCATATTTGTGCTTTCCAAAGTCTTGGTGTTTTTGTAGAGCTGAAAACGTTTGGAATGTCCTGACACACCCTTCTTCTGGACAGGTGAATAGAGTGTCGTCATCACTGTCGCTATCATCCGTGAGAGATTCTGCAGTGGCTTTTGTTGGTCTTTCTCTTCTGGTTTTTCTCGCCATGACGTCACAAAAATCGGGCACCTGATCAGTAACCTCCAAGTTCATATTTACATGCATTATAGATATCACTAAATCAGCTATTCAAATGCTTAGGTTGGGTTGCCTGTGGTCGCGACTGACGGAAAACAACAAAACGCGCGCTCTGTACAGCGCGCACAGCCAAAAACACGCGCACTAAAAGAGCTTGCACGTGGGCCAGAACCTAAGCTAAACTACGTAACCTAAAAAGCAGTAGCACTAATACAAAACTATAAAAATTGTTCATAAAAATTATCTATAAAAATTATCTAATATCTATAAAAATTATATATGTATATAGTCAAGATATTAACTTCTTAGTAGTCATACAAAACCTAGCAAAAAGAAGCTTACCAGAGCCACACTGAGTCACATTTCCCTAACCCTCTTTCTCCCCTCGGCCAACTTTTCTTCTTCTTTGTAATATTGTGTCCTGACAAAACTGGAGGCACTCTGCATCTAGTACTGGCACCTCTAGTCCATCCTAGACCAAGTTTCCCGCGGTGGAAGGGACATATGGTCATGTCTTTCACATTATCTGGTGTGGTAAATATGGCAGCCCGGGACAATATCAAGTCCACCTCATTTTCAGGTCCAGAAAATCCAAAAGCTGTTAAATAAATACTTATATCTCTGGTGCAGGAAACTAGTGGGATAACTTGAACTCCTTGAGTTTGGTCTCGGCTATCTGACCCACATGTTCCACCAACAATTATCTTGAACGAACAACACACCTCCATATTGCTATCGCATTCTACTACTAGCGTTTTAATATTCTTCCCTAGATTTTATAGAACAACTATACTTACGTCACAGAATGGAGAATTACTTGAGTAAACATTGGGAAACAGTACGTTACTTCATTTCATTGCGCAAGTAAGTTAGATCTAGTGCGAGCGCCATCATGTAACTGTCCTCGAAAATAAACGAAATTCTGGAATTTCTATTATTCAGTTATCGATACTTAGTTCTAAAATTTGGTTGTGTGATTCACAGATAAATGAGAGAACAACAGTTTATTACTAACGTTTTATTAGTTGCTCAACATCACCAAACAGCTAAACTTAACATCAAAAAGTGTAGAAAATTACTTGAGTAAACATTGCATTTCAATGCGCAAGTTTAATTAAAAACACATCTGCGTTGTCAGCCCCGTTCAGCCTAGTTTAAAAATTGTTTGAATAATGAATCACGTCAAGCAAAATATAAAAATATTGGTTTTTACGTAACTGCAAAACCTAAAAAAAAAAACAATGACATATTAAGAAAGAGTTGGGCTTCCTGTGGCATTTCGGTCGTTGGGCAAGGCATTACAGAATTTGTCAACAGCTCATGCACGTGCACCCCTAAATCCTGACTCTACACTGCAAGACACTGTCCCGCCTCTACGTAGGAAATCACGAGTTTAGTACATTTACTGTTATTACGGACTTTAGGGTACTCAATGTAGATAGCTCAACTAAGTACATCGTTTGTATTTTTAGATAAATTGTAATATGAATTCTTCTCAAAAGCTTTGGAAAATATGTTGATATTGTGTATCCGAAGGGTATATAATTAATAAAACACAACGTTGACATGTAAATAAAGAGTTGGGCTTCCTGTGGCATTTCGGCCGTTGACATGTTTGGTAATGATATATACCAGATCCCAGTTATCTTGACAATTATTCTTGAAAATGCAAGTTTCAGAGTTCATCAGGTAAGAATCCTTTAAAAGATGCATTATTCAAGTCTTTAGAAGTGTATTGGAGCCTTTCCAAATTCATATTTCAAGTATAAACACAAGCATCGTGTTATTTATAGAAAGCTGCCAGAGGTCAGGAATGAGTAATTTGACCAAAGTTTAACCCTTTGGCGTCCACCCCTAAAATAGTCAATTTTCACCCTTCCCTATTCAAAAATATATAAATCTCTATTGAAATAACCAAATTTGTTATGTTGTATATCATTTTAAAGCTTGATTAATTTACAAATCAAATACACTGTTTTTATTGATGTAAATATAGATTTAATATTAACAGTTATTAATGATTATCATTTTTTGGTTGCGTAATACTATCAAAAATATGATCAAAGCTCAAAAAGTAGGATTTATGTTCAATTTTCAGGAAAACATTTAAAAAACAAAAGATAGGTAATTATCTCATAAAGCTATATTGAAAAAATCAGAGCAATACCTTCAATATTTTAAAATATATCAACGTCTGAATGAACACCACTAAACAGAGTAAATATTAATCAAAATGAAGTAATTTATTAATTCTAAAAATTTTCATTTGAAAGTATATATATATACTTTTTTATCTTAAAATTGGTTACTCAGATGAGCACTATATATAAAAATAGAACAAACAATTGATTTTCAATAAATATCTGAAGATATAATGCCAAAGAATAAATAAAATAAATAAATTCTTAGAAAATTCAACAAGACTTTCGATAAAATGCCAATAAAAAATATATTAACATTATGATAAAAAATACTTAATCAATACATTAGGCTTTAATTCTGCCTTTGGAAATCTTTGGTATGCCAAGTAGCAAAGCAGTTCTTGTCAGTATTGCAGTGTAAATGCACTTGGCACTGCGGAGCACTACAGAACGAAAAAACCTTCAGTTCTTTTTTTGTAACTGTATAGCACACCTTGCAATTCCTCTTTGCCTTTCCAAACTCTGGTAAGTGTGAAGACTCAAACAGCTCTGGCTGCTTAGTTGGGGGTTTAGACAAAGGTGGATCTCCAAATTCTTCAAGTCCTACCAACTGTCGCACCAATTCTTCTCGAAATTCAGCCACAGAATACTTTTTTGGCCTCTTCAGCAAATCGTTGTCTTGATGTTCAGCTCGGTGAATCTCAAACAATATATAGCTGTTTACAATTGCAATATCAATCATATGAAAAAACAAGGTCTTCCACCATCGCATACATTTTCTCAGTGCATTGTTTTTAGCTAAAAGTTGATCAGAACGATCAACACCATTCATGTATTGGTTATAGCTATGTATAACTTGTGGTTGCTTCACTCTGATATTATTCCATTGATTATTAGTCTTTTCCTTTCTTTCCACCATGAGATAGTTATTGGCATTTGCAATAGATGATAAAATTGTAACTGGCTTATTGTCTTTCCATTGCAGTGCAAGACACACACCATCTCTTTCCCATCTTATGTTTCCTCGTTCTTCTCGTTTTGCCCATTCCTTTCCCTTCTTCATACTTTGAGGAAATCCTTTTCTATTTTCTGCCGCTGTCCCTGTTGATGGGACACCAGCTTGAAATAAATCTTTGATAAGCTTGATGGATGAGTAGAAGTTGTCAAAATATAAGTGATAGCCTTGATTCAACAAAGGTGTAATTAGATGCATTACTACATCATAGCCAAGTCCATTTGCAGAGGGCTCATGTCCAGCTTTTCTTCCTATGTAAACATCAAAGTCACAGGTATACCCATTCGAGCTGTCTGCAAGCACCCAAAGTTTAATTCCCCATTTGGTTGGTTTGTTTTGTATATATTGTCGTATACCTTATCTGTGTTTAGACTTCACCATTCTCTCGTCTATAGAAACCATTTGAAACGGCTGGTAAAGTGCCCGACATCTGTTCTTGAAATGGTCAAGAAAGCCACTAATTTTCCGAAGTTTGTCCTCTTGGGCCTCTCCTGCTGGATCAACAACATGTATCATGGCCATAAGCGACTTGAACCGAAGACGAGACATTATGCTTCTGGCCCATAGGCCATGGAATAGAGTCTTTGTACTCCAGTAGCGCTGGAAACTGCTCACATTTACTAATCCACAGTATATGACGAGTGCAATCAATTTGTTCAATTCTTCAGGTGTTGTCTCAATCCAGGCACCATGTCTATCACCATAGGATGGCTTGTTTACTATATTTTGCCAAGCATATGCATTTGTATACTCACAGATTTGCCTCATTAGCTCCATTGTAAAGAACAGTTGGAAAAATTCAATTGCAGTTGACATAGTTCCTATCCGAAGTGGGCCTTCTAAATGTAAGCCTGCTGGTCTTGTTGGAGTAAATGGAGGCAACTGATTAGATGTGTCAGGAGTGTCATATCCATTACTTGCTAAAGGCTGTGGATTGGGTTGAGGCGCAACTCTATTTTGTCCTCTACCTCCTCTGTTTCCTCTACCTCCCCTTCCTCTCCTTTGTCTTCTTCCTCCTACCTGGCCTCTCCCTCTTATCTGTCCCTGAATTTCAATTGGTTGATGTACTTGTACGGGAGCAGGATGATCTCCATTCTCTGATCCCTCAGATGAGCTGTGTAAAATAAAAACATGCGAATACTGTAACTGCAAAATTTGTATTGATTTCAAACCAAAGAAAGACAAAAAGTATATAAGATACATCATTTATCATAAAATTATGCCCAAACGTAAATAAGAAGTAATTCTGTCCGAAATGCAGAAAAAAAAAACAACCTAAAAGTATCGATCTCTTTGTTTCTTTGCGAAGTGTCAAATATCGGTTTCCCGCGAAAATATCACATGTTCAGAGAGAATGAGTGAAAAAAACTCCAAACAAGCAAAATACTCGATGTATATTTGATTTCAATGTGCTAGACACATAAAAGAACATTTATCTTGGTGTTTTCATGAAGAAAAGCAACTAAAAAGCTGACTTTGTGGGTGTAATATCCATATCGTCCTCTCCCATGCCGATTGTTTACACTTTGACTCACCTGGCTTCAGACTCAGAATCACTCTTTTCATGCAGTTCTTCATCTAACTCGAACTCTTCTCCACTAGAAAGCCCACCAGTACTACTATCTATATTACTCTCATCGTCGCTTGCATCATTTAGGATAATTTCTGCTACTTGTTCTGCTGTAAATCGGACATGTGGTCGCTTGCTCGAAGACGCCATTTTGAATCGAAAGAATTTTGGCGTGACAGAAAGTTTTATGTCTGTAAAAGTCAGCCAATCATATTGGTTGCTAATTATAAACTGCTATTTTATTGGCTGTAATACAAAAAGCATTGTGAAATATATTTTGGTGCGTGAAGCGTGCTTTTTGGTTCCCATGACGACAGAAACGTCATCGTTCCTGGAGGAACGATATTTCCAAGGCCGGACGCCAAAGGGTTAAGGACCTATTGCGTTACACACAATCATTTGCTCAAAGATTTGTTTACATCAAAAGAAAGATCATCATCTGAAGAACCATCCAGCGAAGTTTCAGTCGACTGAAAGGTTAAGCAATTTCACAATCAATATTTTCGTGAAGCATACTTTTGGAGACTCGAAACACATATCTAACGACAAAAATTATTATGTTATCTAAAAATTGTGCAATCGATCCAAGAGTCACGCACATAGTACACAACGGATTGTTCTTAAAGGATCCGAGTTGTTTTAACCGCTAGTTTTACTTATTTTTTGTCCAGCGGCCTAGAAAGTTGAGTCMAAATTTACTGGCGCGAAGAGCGTTTTCGGTAGYGTTTGGAAAATGTCATTTTTCTCCATTATAAAGCATTATTTGATCAAACCAACTATACAGCGATTCTTAGGATACATTGCCCTACATAACTTGAAAGTATGAGCGAAATCGATTTTTCAAGGTTTGCCGTGCTTTGCTCGATGATTACAGACAGTCACTCTTAAACAACCATGTATAAAGTGAGGAGAAAACGAAGGCAAAGTGAGCTATATTGCGGTCATTGTGACGAAGTGCTGTCGAAATCAGCCTACTGGAAGCAWCGTCGAACATATTTTGATCCAACAACTGAGCAGTGGACTAAAAAGACATCTTTAGAYCAAAGCCAAACTCGAAGCGTAAAGAATCAAAGTGTTTTAAACATCGATGATTCATCAGATAACGAYGATTCTCAAACGGCTGCAGATAGCTCAAATGAAGGTAAATCCAAGGATCACAATTTGATACTATAACTTAAATAAAGCCTATGATATCACCTGTTTTCCTATCAATCATTGTGATTGATTTCTATAATTTTACTTTTAGTACCATTCGCTCAAGTACT